TGTCAGGATTCACACAGACTGTACTCTGACCAGTCCAAGGTGCTAGTTTGTAGGCAGGTGTAAAAGGTCCCTTTAAAAAAAAAAAAAAAAAAAAAAAAAAAAAAAAAAAAAAAAAAAAAAGCTCTGCCCACTCTGAATCACTCTTTCCTGCTGTTCCTCTGAAGGAACAGGCAGGACTTTTCCTGCCTCTTCTCTTTTCTGTCTATTTCTTTCTTCTCTTCTCCTGTCTCCCTTCCTTTCCCCCACTCCCTTCAAATCCCCTAATAAAACTTTTCACTTCAGTTCTATCTGCCTATCTATGTTTGTCATTCACCCATCATGGGCTCACCCACCAGGGTACCCCTTGTACCTTATCTGAACAATAATTCTATAAATACAAAGGATTATCAGTAAATCTTGCTGTTGATTTTTGTAAAATAGCAGGACCTTGGCAGGCCAAGGGATCAGACAGGAGACAAATATGCCATGCAGGCAGAACTGTAAAGTGGAGATTATTGAGAGAAGGATAAAGGGGAAGGAAGAGACAAAGACAAACACACAGAGAGAGAGACAGAGAGAGAGAAAGAGAGAGAGAAATGAAGAGGGATAGAGAAAGAGAGAGAGAGGCTGAGACCTGCTTGCCTGTTTAGAAGAACTGTGGTTAAGTAACAATGGGCAGAGCTTGTCTCTTAAAAAGCCTTATGCACCTACATAAGGACTAGGGAGTAACATAGCAGCCATAGGACTCTGGACTGGCCAGTGGACTGCCTGAGGGCATCCTGCCAGGCACACTGCTTGAATCCTAATATCTCCATGTTTTTCTTATTACAAAAAGGTGAGAAAACTAAAGGGCATAGCAAGTGTGGCAGGGATGGGGTGCTAGGTTCTTAAGACTTCTTTCTGCTGATTTGTGGGTGTTGAAATCTTGAACCTGAGAAAGCTGGGGTTCTTGCCATGTCCAAGGTTATTTCACTGCTGTCCAGGCTCTGTGGAACTGTCTGGTATCTCTTGGATCTAGCAAAGTGCTGGCAGAGCAGAGGACAAGGCTAAGTTTAGGGAAATTTTTTTCTTAGGTCCTAGTAAGAGAGGGAGGATAGGTGTAAAGCCCAGGGAAATGTGGTCGTGGCTTTGGTTGCCTATTGACAGAACTTTTCAGGAATGCATATGATCTCTTGGAAGGGAATCCATGTACACCTTTTGAAACTTTCAAGAATTCTTTGAGTTTGTGAATGCTTAAGTCTTAGGCATGAACGTTTTTACTGTTTAGCATGTATTGAGATTTACATTATATAAACAGCAGTATATTCAGGTCAGAAACAACTATGACAAATGTTTTTGCATGATAAAAAGTATCTTTGAGGACGATAGCTAGGAAATCACCAAATGGGAATTTGAAATTTTGTGCTCATGGCTATTGATAATGGTATAGTATGGTATTTACTACTCTGTCAGAGTTGGAATAGTAGCTTATGAGAACTTTATTGACTAATGTTAAGATTATATGCACATGAATAACTTGCTTTAGCACACCTTAAAGCACATTCTTAGAAGTTAAACATTCTTAGACTCTTACATCTTAAGCTTTGCATCTTAAAACACTTTTATTTAAATAAAGAAATGGTAAGAAGTTATACTGAAATCTGTTTTGTGAGTTTATCTCTTTTCTGAGTGTGGTAATGAGGTAAATTGTGTCTACACTTAGTATTGGCTCTAGTAGAGTGAAGTCTGTGACCTGAATTTTACACAGATAATTAAGAAGGTTGCTGGTAAAGCTAACTGATGGAAGAAGGTCATTGGTTAATAAAGAAACTGCCTTGGCCCATTTGATAGGCCAGCCCTTAGGTGGGTGGAGTAGAGAGAACAGAATGCTGGGAGGAAGAGGGAAGTGAGGCAATCACCATGTCTCTCCTCTCTGAAGCAGACACGATGAAGCTCTGACCCAAGATGGACATAGGCTAGAATCTTCTTGGTAAGCTGCTGCCTCATGGCGCTATACAGATTATTAGAAATGGGTTAGTCGAGGTGTGAGAATTAGCCAAGAAAAGGCTAGATATAGTGGGCCAAGCAGTATTTATATGAATACAGTTTGTGTATTGTTATTTCAGGGTAAAGCTAGCTGGTGGCCGGGAGCTGGGTGGCAGGAAGCGGCCTGCAGCTTCCACTACCGCTAACAGTCATCAAACTGCCTCGAGGATCTTAATAAGGATAAATTTTACCTGAGCTAATGCCTAAAAAAATGACAGACTTACTCATTGGGTGCCTGGACAACCACTCCTCAGGGTCCTCCATGGTTGTCTAGGGAAGTACTATGTCAACATCTTCTACCTTCCAGCTGTCAGAGCTAAGACTGCAAGGCCCCAGAAGGTCCCACAGGCTTCTGTGAAGTAAGGATGCATGGGAGGGTTTTACCTTTGTCTTAGGCAACTTGAGGCAGTTGGTTCCCTAGTGTCATGTTGTCCATGGTCTGAAGAGTGTCTTTGCACCAGTTGAGGTAAAAGGCAGTATTTTTTCTCAGTGGTTATCACTGCCTCTTATGAAACAAGTTCCAGGTGAAAGTTCTTCTGTTAACATCTATCTTTGGAGAAAATGGGGTAGTGACAGGAGCTAACCTGTCTCTCTGCTATGAAAAGCCTTGGTAATAATTAAACTTTTTAAATGACATATTTTCTAGCTCTCTGAGAATAGAGGATGTCTGTGTATTGGGAATATCTGAGTTATGACTACAGTGTAGTATCTGCCTCGGGAGCTGGATTCAAACTGAGAGGTTGTGGAAGAATGATTTACACAGCATTCTCCAGCTTGGCTATAACTGGTTTTTAACTTAGCAGGTCAGATTTAGGCTTGTTAGGGACAAAGAAGTAAAGAAAAATTTTCTTTTGCAATAGCATCTAAACAGTAAAAACTGACAATATGAACAGAACTCATTGAGACTATTTAAAGCATCTTTTAAACTATAAGTACATGTATATATACATGCAGTTGAATTTGCATTGCATACACACATACATACACATTTATATTAAACAGGAGTTGAATAAATAAGAAGCGAGAAACAATGTGTATTGATCCAGAGGCAGCTAACTTCTCCATCTCTGACTCCCATGTGGCAGACCCAGCTGCTGGTACTGAATGAAATGCAAAGCAGATTTGTTACAGGTCTAAGAGAGCAGATGTGCTACCAGGGAGTAGGGTCCCTGAGTGAAATAAATGCCCAGTGGGCCCTGCTAAGGCGTACCATCATGCGAAGACACCACAAGCAATAGAGTCAGTGTAAAGAGTTAGAGACAAAGGAAAGATAATGGACTGTCTCTACCTAGTGGACACTTTTAAAAGCGTAACTAAGAGTGTAAAGGCAGCTGATGACAGGTGCTGACTCAAGTGCTCTGGCTGTGGTGGCTGCCATGGGTGCCCCTTGTTTAGGGCTGGAACTGGAACTGGAACTGTATGAGTCTTCAGATCTTCCCAGGCCCAGTTGCCACCTCAGGCAGAGTATCCTAGGAGGAGCTGGTCACATGACCACCTTTAGTAAAGATTGTGGTTAAGACCTATGACCTGCCCTTGGTCAAGACAGTGTCTACCCACACGTTGCAAGGCTCTGAGAAACCACATGTTTTTAGAGCAGTCATGTAAACTTTAGACATGCTCAGTTAAGAACACAGACACACAAGCTGCATAAAACATACACTTAACGCAGTCAGAATCACACCCGTGTGACCACACCATTCGCATAGTCTTTCATACATGAAGCAGACAGGAAACATCCTGAACATGTGCTGCCCACCTGCAGCCAACAGGAAAGAGGGACCCCCCACCCTGGATTGTAGCAGCAAGGGTGGGAACAGAGACAGAGTCAGATGAGAAAGAGGGAACCGCCACCTGGGAATGGATGATTCACAGGACAAGCAGAAGAGCGAGACATTTTGAACATGAGCATGAGATGCCTCGTGAAGCAGAATGCTCCCAGGCAGAGAGATGATCCTTCCCGGAGACAGGCTTAACCATGAGGGGAGGTGGCAGGAGGTCGCTGCAGCAGCAGGTAGGAAAGAAAGTTAGACAAGTGTAGAGAACAGGAAAAAACAAGAGGCTGAACTTTCAACTATGGCTCACTGGTGGATTGAAGGCTGCTTATAAACAGTCATGTGGTTTGATATCTGAGGAAGGGGTGATTGGGCTGGGCACATTTATTGTGAAGGAGGTAGAGACAAGGCCCAGTGTCCCAGAGGTTCCGTGTGGACCACCACTCATGTTGGCCTTGGATCGTCATATACAAGGTCCGCAGAAAGTGGGGAGTATGTGGGCACAAGCCATAACACTACATTGTCACATGGGAACAGGGCCCAAAGTGCTCTGACTCTGAGAGACATGTGGTTTCACCCATTAATTAAGTCAGTGTGTTCTATTATAATTATGTGTGTGTTTACTAATTTATTTATTTACTAGGTTCTTTGAAATTGATCCTTATATACTCCAGGTTGGCCTCAAACTTCCTATATATCCAAGGCTCCCTCTCCAGCTTCGGCTGGTCAAGTACTGGAATTGCAGAAAAGTACCAACATGTCTGACTCACTGACTGGAGCAGGAGTTATGCAGACAGTCATGATCCACTAAGGAATCCAAACTTTGGTTCTCTAGAAGAGAAACAACTACTCTTAACACCTCAGCTATCTCTCCAGGCTCTTGCAAATCCCTGCCACCCACAACCCTGACAGTGTTTCCCTCAGTCCTAATCAGTCTGCTTTTATCTATGGGTGGCTTTTTTTTTATCTTGATCTTTATTCTTTCTTTTTCTTGCTCCTTTATTGGCTCTTAGTTCAATACCTGAAAAACACTCCATGACAACAATTCTGTTTGCTTGTCTTCGACTTTTCTGTGAAGTGCAGACATAATTTATAGACCAGGACTTTCATGAAGGGCATTTTCAGTAGAGGGGTACAAGCCAAATACACAGATGATTTGGAGTAAATCTATCTTTTTCCCTGAAAGGTTCATGAGAATAATGTTCTTATATTTATATTTTTCAGGTAAAAATGTCCAAGGACAATGTCTCAGTATCGTCTCCCTCGGGTCTCCTGCTAGGCTTTACTGCTGCTATGCAGTGATCATCGTCCTCTTTGGAGCTGTGATTGCACTTTCTGTGGCTTTATCATTGTCAGGTGAGTGACCCATTCTCCAGATTCTGCAGCATTCTGTCCACATCCACACTGTCAGTTACACTTACTGAGCACCGTGAGCCAGGCTTTGTGTGAAGGGCAGAGAGAAAACACACTGGAAATTCCTGTTCTCTGGGAACTTAGGGTCTAGCAGGAAGTTGCAGTGAAGGAACAGCACAGGCTGTGGTGTACAGAGAAAGCCAGGCTCAGCATCCCTGGGAAGAGGACATTCAGCAACCTCTAGAGAGTTGCAGAAGACATATGTCTAACCTTGGGAAACTATTAAAAATAGAGAAGAAGAACAGCAATACCCAAAGGAGGAACCTCAAGGAAATGTGAGGACAGAGAAGAGTAATATGGCCAAGAAGATACAGCACCCCTCCCCCAATTACCCATCATGTCAGTTCCCAAGTTCAATTGAATTTTGAAAGTATTCAGTGAAAGGTTTTTGAGCTGATCAATTATAGGATTTTAGAACCACACTATTCTAACTGTGTAATAAAAGTCTTGTACTGTTGCCATCTGTAGGGGATCTTCTTTCTACTTTGGCTTATTGGTCACCAGGTTGAGAGAGAAAAGATAATGATGGGGTGACAGAAAGTTTTGTATGCAGTCCATGAGCACAGATGGACTGTGGTAAATTTACTTTGGTAAATCAGCTCAACTTTATTCCAGAGTATAAGGAATATATAGGATTTGTGAGCCTAGGGACAAACCCTCATTACTACAAAGCTCCTGTCACAAGGCATGGTATGTGGCAGTAAGGTCCTTTAACAGAGTTCCTAGCACAAATTTTCTTAGCAGGGATTTGTATCAAGAATCAAACTAAAGGTAAATCAGGTATCTGGTTTTAGAGAAATGCATCTGTTCAGAAACATCTTTCAGATAAGGTCTGTCTTCCAGGCCCACGGATATCCTCCAGATAAGGCTAGATAGAGAGCAGGAAGCTTTGTTTGGGAAGAAAGAAGCTCCATATAGCTCCATATTGTCAAACTTAGAGAGAAAGCTGTGAGGCTATTGAAGAAGGATGCTTAAAAGAAATCCCACACTAGCTCAGAATTGAGAAAGAGATGGTTATTTATTGAGGGGTAGACTCACAAATCAATCCTCTGCTGGAATGGAGAACATAAACGAAATCCCACAGCCAAAAAAGAGGTCAGAAACATACTTTACATAGGCATAAATAGTGTAAGAGGCCAGGCCCCAGTGGTTGGGTAACTACTGGCTATATAACTTCCTATGGCACCTCCCACTTTTTTAAAATTATTGTTTAAATAATTGAGTTCTAAGCCTACTGCAAAATTATATACAATAAGGACAAATATATTCAATAATTATTATATCCGAACTAGTTTATGTCTTGTATAATAAATAACTTGGCCAAGTCACAAGAGGAAAGTAACTACAACTATCTAGTCTTCAAGCCCATCGAAGATCCGAAAAGGGAAATAATATTACTTGGGAAAGCAGAAAGTACAATCAAGCAACTTCCAAAAAGTGCAACAAATAAGAGAAACAAGTGGCTACCTGGGCAATCACCCAAAGTCTCATTTGTAATGTTGAAGCAACCAACTTTGGTTAAGGCCTAGAATAACTAACAGACCATTTTCAGAGTTAGGAAATTTTTCCAAACCATCTTACATTGTCTTGGCAAGATTTGGCAGTCCTCCTTATCTTTTTCAGGATACCATGTACCTAGTCAATGTTTGAGGCATAGGCAGTTTTTTGTCCAAAGGCCAGTTTTGCCTAAAAGAAAACTCAAAGTGGACTGTTTTCCATGCTCAACATTCTCTCAGGAATAGATTGGTGCTGCCAGGAGCAATGGTATCTCACTTCAACAGTACCCTAAGTTATTTATATGCCATATTCTACTGCTCTTTGAAGAGGCTGAAGATTACCTATTTATGTAGAACACAATCTCTATGTATCTAAAGAACCTGATTAGTCTAACTATAAGCATGACAAACATAGATGACTATTGATCTATAATTCTTAATACCTATATAACTTAAAGACTAAGACTTCATATTAGAATATTATACAATAAACAACTGTACAACAAGTGAAGACAATGACCTCAAAATGTAAACAATGTATCAGTGTCTTGATAGATAGGTAGAAATGTACATTGCAATATGATAAATATATCCTAAAATTATGTCAATATTCAATAATGTTTTTAAGCAGTGGTAGAATCATGCATGCATACAATATGACAAATTAACTTTGCCTAGGTATACAAATCTGGTGGACAAAAATTGAAACATATTCAATAAAATTTAACTTTATGTCAATATACAAGCCTCTATACCAATGTAATTGCTTATAAATAATGCCTCACAAATATCCACTCTATTGCTCACTATTATTATTAGTGTAAGTAAGCGCACATTAATCTATTATCCCATCCAATTTTCCCTTTTTTTTCCAAAGAGATGCCTAAGCCTATAAATTTTCCTCCCAACATCCAGCCCTAAACCAATTATAATAAACCACTAAATGATGTCCCTAACCCTGAGGACAATCTTTGTTGGAAGAGGGGATGTCATCTTCTAGAATTACTTCCAGCTGTCATGGGGGCAATGTTCTTTCTATGGGATCCCGTGAAAATAATGCTTAAGTTCCAAGATTACTGTCTGGTATAATGTTAAATAGTATCTGAGTATTGGTAAGGTTTTTCTGAGGTTCCTATTTGAAGTTTTGGACAAAATGTTGTAAAAATGTGTACCATTTCAGCTAACCAAGTTGGAACCGTCTTGAGCAGATGGTACCCAATACAGGTCTTATAGTAGCTCTATCAGCTATTGAGCATTCTCTGTGGGAGGATAGTCCATTGATATTACCTAGTAGGTTGAGAATAACTGTAAGTAGGCAATGTGAAGGCAAATTTTTCTCTATCCTTTCCTTGTAAAGGTATAGTGAAGAAACAATCTTTCAAACCAATAACTATAAGAGACCATCTTTTTGGTAATAGAGCAGGCAGAAGGATTCCAGATTGTAGAGGGCCCATAGCCTGAGTTACCTTATTGACCACTCTTTGATCTGTCACCATTCTCCATTTACCAGATTTCTTTTTTACAACAAATACAAGAGAATTCCAAGTGCTGGTTTATTCTTCAATATGATGAGCATCTAGTTACACTTGTACCATCTGTTCTAAAGCCTATAACTTATCTTCCTCAGGAAGCCACTGCTTAACCAATATTGGCTTCTCAGTTAACCATGTTAAAAGTAGGGATGCTGGTACCTCTAAAGGTTTTCTAGTTTCTTTATGTTCTTGTACAGTATGAATGACTGGTGACCTTTGTGTATAGAACCTTAAAATATCCTTCCCAGAATTATGAGTTCCTGGGACTGTAGGAATGTTAATCTGGGTATTCTATTGCTGCAACAAGTCATAAACCCATAAATTTACTACAACATTAACCACATATGGCCTCAGCTTTCCTCTTTGAACTTCTGGCACTATGCAGTCAATTGTGCAGCCAAATCATGCTTTGTTTGCCTTGAGATATGGTTCCAATTTGTAGTAAATGAGCACCTGCCTCTTTAAGAGGCCAATTTGGATGCCAAGATTCTGGAGTAAGGAGACTCATATCCACACCTGTGTCTATCACACCAACAATTACAATGCCATTTATATGCACTCTTAGCTTTGGTCTTTGATCATTTATAGAAGTCTGCTAGAATATATGTTTCCCATTTCCTATTGGGATTTTTTGACTTATCCTCCATGTTTATGTCATCATCTAGAACATTATGGTATTTTACAGAAGGCTCTGGAATTTTTAATTTTCCTGGTGAGACATATCCTCCACAGTGACTGGGAACGACTGGGCCACTTTTGGCTTGGGGGCCTGTGAGAGGCCCCTCAAAGAGTTTCCTGATGGTATCGAAATGCCTTGTCTATTTTTTTGTTGATCTGCATTCATTGGTCCAATGCTGGCCTTTGCCATACCTTCTATATATACTTGAAGGCTGAGTCCTGCTATTCTTGCCATTCCCAGAGGTGATAATTATTCTTAGGAATTCCTTGTCTACAATTCCTTCTCAGATGTCCTATTCTACCACAATTAAAACATTTGGCATTTTTATGTCTCCTCATTCCTTTGGAAATTGCTTCTTCTACCCAAGATTCAATAGTATACCCAAATGTCTCAATGTTCATTGTATGCAGGATTCATTCAGCCATAGGTGCTGATCTAACCTTTTTGCATTGTAAGTTGGCATTTTCAAAAGCCAGAGATTCAATAAGTACTCCTCTAGCATCTGGGTCTGTTAATCCTATTTGTACAACCTTAATTACTCTTTGTAAAAAGTTAGTAAAGGATTCTCTCTGGCCCTGTTTAACCCTGGTATATGATTCCATCTGTTTTCCTCATTCTTGAATCCTGTCTAAAGCATTTAAGGCTGCTTTGTGGCATAGGGACAAGATTTGTTCATTGTAAAGAGCTTGAACCTCTGGATTGGCATATGTGCCTGCACCAAAAATTTGATCTTGGGAAGTCTCAAGGCCTTTTGCTTTTCCCTGTTGTTCCAAATTTTTTGCTTCTTTCCTGAAATAAATTCTAAACATTAATTGAGGCCCATCATCCAGGACTGCTGAAACTACCTGAATCCAACCATTTGGCACTGCTTTGGTGCTAGAAGACCATGTCTTTATTATTTCCCTAACAAATGCAGAATGCAAATCATAAGTTACAACCGCGTGCTTAATTTCTTTTAGATCATTCATTCCTATAGGTATCCATCTACATTCTTTGGATTCTTTTGGACCTTTAGAACTTGACGCTTTATCAGAGTAGATTACAGGGTATGAAGTTAAAATACTGGGTAAGTCATCTCTGACAGCTACTGGTGATGTTGACACCTGTCCTTGTGTCTTCTTTCCCTGTTCATCAGCTCCAATAATTTCCTCAATTATTTCAAATCTTTTTACTGTTGTCTTATGTAAAGCCCAAATCTCCTGGCCTGTATATAATTCTAGTGATTTAATTGAGGCA